TCAATGCATAGTCTGATACGGGCTTTTATGCCCGTATCAGACTACGCATTGAAAATTGAAGATTGAAGATTAAAGATTTGAATTTGACTAATCAGAACAGAAGGGACTAAAATTTCTTTGTCCTAATTGGTCAAATTTCAATCTTGAATCTTGAATTTCAATCTTCAATGCGTAGTCTGATACTGGCTTTAAGCCCGTATCAGACTACGCATTGAAGATTGAGGGTGCAAACCCATGGCAGCGGAAAAGCGTAACGCGGAACAAGAGCGGACCAATCGTGAGCGTAGCGAAAACTGCAGAACGCTCGCGATTGGTCATGCTCTCGTTCCGCGTTACGCTATTCCGCTGCATGAGTTCGCACCCCAAGTCCTTACATCCCCATGGAGCGTAATGAGCGCACCGCGGACCAATGCGCAACCAATCACGAGTCATTATTTCAAAAGAGTTAAAACCGCATTAAAACTTATTTAACTTATTTAACATTTTTAATCAATATTTCCAATAAGAACGCATTCATTTTAAGGGCATTCTACAATGGCAGTAACAAGGCTGTAGGAGTAGGAGAGTATACTTTTAAAAGCAAATGGGAATTGCCCATTTCGTTACTCCCCGTCTAAACATCACTAAAAACAGTATACTCTCCTACTCCTACAGCCTTGTTACTGCCATTGTAGACGGGCCTTTAGACCCTCGATGATATAACCTCAATAGAGAACAAAAAAAGTTAATTCAATTTTAAATATCAACGGCGCCTTTGAGAAAGGGAAGAAATCACGAAAATCGAATCTTGCCGAATCGTATCGCGATCGTACCAGCGATGTCACAATATCCACCTATTAATGTTCGCCTGGCGGTAAACAGGGTGGATTTTAACCTGATAACGAACGAGGGCGTTCAACCGCGACTCTACACCCCCGGCGAGGAGATATCCAGTCAACCGGATTTCCTAAGGTAAATTAATTTTCGGGTTGCACGCAACACGCGATTACGAGAATATTAGTTAATCTAATCTTCAGAGGTCACGGAACTTACGTTGATGAGGAGAAAACATTGCGCGCGTCAGTCGCTGGAATTCTGGAGAAGGTGAACAAGCTTATATCCATCAGGCCTTTGAAGGCGCGCTACAACGGCGAAATCGGGGATCTTATCGTGGGTAGGATAACAGAGGTGCAACAGAAGCGTTGGAAAGTTGATGTAAATTCCAAACTCGACGCTGTCTTACTGTTGTCCAGTGTTAATTTACCTGGTGGTGAATTGGTACAAATATATATATATATTGATATTTTAATTTTTTAAATTTTTGTTTATTTAGTACAAAACATTCACAGAAAGTTAAACCTTTTTCATTTCATTATAGATTCTCCAAAATATATAAAAATAATCCTGTTTAAATCTTAGGATTAAGGGCCCAGTCTACTGTAGCAATATGAAAAATTGCTGATTTTTTGGATTTTTTTTTTAAGAATATTAGAAAAATTGATCTTTTTGGTGTTTTTATTGAAACAGTACAACAGTATTTGTACATCTTGGATATTTAGCTTTTTTTTTCTTCAATATAGGTCCCTGTGTGTAGCATGTTCAAAAATGCATGGTCCAACAATATGAATTCTTATAATTGTTTGAAATTAACAACTCGGTCTAGTTTTATTCCGTAGAATATTTTTGGGATATTGAAACTAATTTTATTTAAAAAAATTGAAAAATAACAAAATTGTGTCATATTAAAAATAGATATTTCATTTTTGATAAAATTTTGTCAGTTCTTAAAGGTCAGAAAAATATTAAATATTAATGTTTTAAATTCTTAATTAGACTCAGTATCCCCAAAAAAGTGTTTTATTTTAAAAAATTGAAGTTATTAGTTTTGTCATTAATTTTCAAGTGATCACACTAACTTTAAAAACAGTGTTTTGTGAAAAATGTATTTAAAGTTTTATAGGCCCATATAAAGACCTGCGCGTTATTTCAAAGTCTTATAATTTCGTCAATTTTGCGAATTTTTCATAAAATTTGACAAACATTCTTCAAACATCATATTTTCAGAAAATGTAAAAAAGATCAATTTTTTGGACTCTCTAAAATAGACTAGATTCTTAAATGCAATCTTCGCTTACAAAGATTATATTAATTGGTATTTGCCAAATCTTATAATAATGTTAAATATTTCTGTAACTAATTACATCTGTGATATTTCCAGTTAAAAAATATTTGTAGCAATCTGTGTAATAGTTCTGAATATATACATTATATATATAGAATGCTCTCAAATTTCACAGAGGAGAAGATCCGCAGAAGATGAACAGACAATGCGCAGGTACTTACAGGAGGGGGACCTTGTTTGTGCAGAGGTGCAATCAATCTTTGCTGACAGTTCCCTCTCGTTGCACACGCGAGTGCTGAAGTATGGCAAACTGTCGCAAGGGATAATGTTGAAAGTACCACCGATGCTGATCCAGCGTAAGAAGACGCATTATCATAATCTGGAAAATGGCGTGACTTTAATACTTGGTTACAACGGTTACGTGTGGATCGGTGCGAACATTCAGAATGTCGATAAATCTGAGGGCGGTTTCACCGAGGATTTGTCGAGAATTCCGCTGGAGAATCGCGAGGTGTGTGCGCGATTGCGTAATTGCATTTTGATCTTGGCACAGTGTAACATGCTGTTGTCTGACACTTCCGTAACGTACGCTTACGAAGAATCCGCTAAGTACGAAGTGCACGAACTGTTACAACCTGAAGCGATGGTTGATGTATCATTATTGACGCATCAAAGACTTGCGCGATCTATTATAACAATCTAATGAATTCAATTTGAGATATCACCAAAAAAAATAGATTATAAAGTATCAAATTAATAAACATGAGACTAAAAAAGAGAAAACTAAATGCGATAAATAATAGAATTAATCAATGATTTTTTTTAGTTATTAATCCTGAAATGTAAGATATGGCAAATAAAAAGAGAATTTTATATATAATATCGTGTAGCATTGAGGCTTTTGACAATTGAATTAGATGACGACAAGGACCACATTTGTAGGATATTCCGAACCTCGCTCCTTTCTGAGAAAATTGAATGTATCAGACCGAATTATAACATCGAAAGAAATTATATATAGATATGGAAATTTGGCCAACTGGTTTAGGTGTAAAAGGTAATCACGGAGATACACTAATCTGAGTATTGATTAAACAAATAAAGCCTGGAAACAAGTAGTCGGCAAGTGGTAGAGCTGAGAGACATGGACGCATGTTTCAACGCCTTCGATAAAGATAGCGATGGATTGCTATCCATTTCGGAATTTGATCTTATATGCCGCGCGTTATTTCGAAATGATCGCGGTAAGATCTATGGTCTCGAGGAGGACCAGCTGCGAGAGGTGTATTCAATCTTTGATCTCAAAGACGATGGCATGATCGATAAGGAAGAATTCGAGGTATGTAGAAGATGCGACGAAATATCAATCATCTGTTTTAGATATTAAAAAATGTAATAAATATTAATTTAATTTTCTAAGTTCTATAAATAATAGAGAAAAATTCATTATTATTACTCTTAAAAAAAAAAATAATATACATTCTTTAAAAATCCTACTATACTTTATCTAGAATGATAATAGAATAGAAAAAATATATCTTTATATTATGATATTAAAGATTTTGGAGTAATGTTCTCTTTCTAGTCTGAATTATTTTTAGTTACTGAATACTAAATCTCCTATGTTTTTTTAACGTTGTTAATACTTGTTAATAAAATACTATTTTTCTATTAATACATTATTCTATTGTAGGTTTGCTGGAATCGATGGATCAAAGTATGCACGCGTCCTAAGAGTGCTTTTTTAATCGTAGACGTGCAAAACGACTTTATAACGGGTTCCCTGAATATAAAGCAATGCGCCGCACAGCACGACGGTTCGGAAGTGATCGAACCAATTAATCGATTACTGGAAACCGTGCCGTTCGACGCGGTATTTTACTCCCTGGACTGGCATCCCGTGGATCACGTATCCTTTATCGATAATTTGCACCTCAGGTAATCACAATAGAAATTGTACTATTAACAATTAAAAATGTCTTTATATCAGTTCCTTTTAAATTATATTTTTAAACGCACTTTTTTTATTAAAGTATATCAATACTTATTTATTAACTTAAATATTGGGTCCAAAAAGGCACTTGAAATTGCGTATCTATGGACAGAAAAAAAAGTCAAGAGTTAAACTGTTTGGATTGATATTCGTTTACATTATCAGGGAAGTGGACATCAGCAGCAATATTTCAAAGGAAGCGGCGCGGGTGTACGACACGGTGACGTTCCAGGGGCCGCCGTTGTTGAAGCAACGTTTGTGGCCTCGTCATTGCGTGCAGGACTCGTGGGGCGCCGAACTTCACAAGGACTTAAAGATCGTCGACAACGCGATCAAGATCTACAAGGGCACGAATCCGGAGGTGGACTCGTATTCGGTGTTCTGGGACAACAAGAAGCTGACCGAGACCACGCTGTCGTCGCAGCTGCAGGAGAAGGGTGCGACCGACATCTACATCTGCGGTCTTGCCTACGACGTATGCGTGGGTGCTACAGCGGTGGACGCGCTCACCAGTGGTTACCGCACTATACTTATTGACGATTGCAGCCGCGGTGTGGATCTTGTCGACATCGAGAAGACCAAGGCCACAGTAATAGCCAGCAACGGCGTGATAGTTAATTCCAGCCAAGTGAAGGCGATGGTGGAGGGAAGAGATCGACGACCGGAGCTAGGCTATAAGCTTGCCCTGGAGATCAAGCATAAATTGAGATTCGATGATGAATAATTTTAGCGAGTAGTGCAATAAATCTGGAAGCTTTACATTGGTAGATACTAATATAAAAAATCATAGATATATCTTTCTCCTTCAAAATTTTAAAACACGTTTCTTAGAGCTCTAAAATTGTTAAAAATAAAAAAGTAAATGAAAAGAAAAATGTAAAAATAAATTACAATGGATACATCTTATCTTATTGAACATTAAAATAGACATTAAAATGTAGACATTAAATTTGTTGTCTTTAGAAATTTCTTTAAGAGAGATAAAAGATAAAAATATGTACATGTTGGATTTAAGATATGAAATTAGTGATATAGCATTTAAGCTTTTTCATCTAGTGAAGATGTATAATATTGATTTGAGTCGAACATTTTAAAATGTTTAAATCGAAAAAGAGAAAATATTGATTTAAATTGCATATAAATCTATTAAAAAATATTTAGTGAAAGATGAAAGTAAATATATTTTTTGTATTAGTGGTAATTGTAGGTTTAGCTACGCATGTATGTACATATATTGTTATATATAT